GAAGAAGAGGGAAGCCAGCTGGGCTAGGATGCCCAGGATTGATCCGCCGCGGCTGCGCCCACAGGGCACATGACGTCCTCACGGCCTGGTTCTGCGGGGCTGGCCTGGTTGGGGAGCTCGCTCTCCTAAGTCCCAGCGCTGGCATGCTTGCGCCGCCTGGACAGCGGATGGCTGTGCTTGGCCATCCCCAACCCCCTCTGCAGGCCAGTCGCGGTGCAGGGGCAAGCCTGGGGGGTGGACCGCAGCCCCCACCCCTGCCCCAGGCCCGCTCAGCAAGGTTTCCCAGCGCCCGTGGCCGTCCTCTTCAGCAGAGTCAGGGACGCGGCCCCACCTGCCCCACCTGCCCCACCTGCCCCACCGGGTCCTTACGGCTCCACACAGGACAGAAGGAATGGGCAGAGGCCAGTCCCACACCCGGGGAGTCCGGCTGTGGCCCCCAGGTCAGCTGACGTGCCGGGGAGACCCTCCCTCTTCTTCACCCACTGCCCACGTGTTGAGGAAATGGTTCACGGCGGTACAGAACTTTACAGTCTATGAGGGTCTTCAATATATGTCACTCTCTCGGTCCCTGGCGTTGTTCGGGGTGGGTCATCCACGTTTTCCAGGTGAGGGAGCTCGAGGCCGTGCTGAGTGGTGTGGCCAGCAGGAAAGCTCACCCTGGTGCTGGCCACAGGTACCCGTGGGTGCCCTCTCCGTGACACAGGTGCCCCCCCTGCCCCCCGGAGGTGGGGGCTAGGCCATGGGGCTAGGGGCTGTGTTCGCTGGGCTCTGCAGCCAGCCTGTCTGGGCTCCCCAGGTCAGAGGTCATCCCAGCCGGGGCACAGCGGCCACTGACCACCGTCTGGGGTGGGTGGGGGTCCTGCTCTCTGTGGCCAGAGTTGTGAGGAGGGGGAGACAACTCTTGGCTGTGGCCAAATTAGCTTGGGTGCCAACCCCGCAGAGTCATCCTCGCCGTGAATGCCCGGGGCCAAGGCCTCCCCATGCCTGGCCTGCTCATGTCGACCCCTGTAGAGAGTGGGTCATTTGTCCCAACTCATCAGACCCTCAGCAGCCAGTAAGAATTTTCTCCTTGGGCTCCTCCCTCTGTCCGCTCCCATCTGGCTAAGCCCTGCTGGGATCCTAAAATCCCCTAGCACATGTTTTCTATACCTGCAGTTCACCCTCGAGGGGAGGACCGCCCCCAGATCGACATGGTCCTGGGTGGGAGCGGTGGTGCTCCTTCTCCCACCACACTGAGCGGATGTGTCTGCAGCCAGCCTGCTTCCCCGGGGGGTGGGATGATCTGAATGAAGGCTCCGTCCCTCCCCACCCTGTCCATTTTCTCTGGAAGAGAGAGGAGAGACGTGTGGGCGGGAGTCACGGAGGCAGTGGGAAATGGGATTGTTGGAGAGGAGAGGGCAGATCACAGCGTATCGAGCGGGAAGAACTGGCCCGGGGTGCCTGGCTGACGGAGACTGACGGGGTTGCGGGCCAGTGGCCTCCCGCCCGTCTGCTCAGGAGACACCAGCCTCCCAGAGTACCAGGCTCGGGGCCTTCACTCTCTGCTCCGGCAGACGCTGAGGCCTTTGAGACGGTCCTCTCCCTCCCTTGCCCTGCAGTGGCCCCTGTCCTTGTCCCGGAGGCCAGGGAGTGACGGCCAGAGGCGTAGCCCTTGCTGTGGCCCCACAGACGTCCCTCCTGACCGGGGAGGCAGCAACCTCTTCCACATGGGGCATCTCCTGGTGCCTGAGCCCCTGGGAGCCACCTTCTGCGTGGAGGGCAGGGGGTGTCGCAGAGGGGAGCTTCCCGCGCCCGGCTCCTGCCCCGCCTCCACTGGCTTGGGCATGGGGCAGGTCGTTTAGACCATAAACTGGGGCTGCGCCCAGCAGATCCAAGAGCATGAGGGAGAAGAGGTGAGACCCCCCCAGACTGGCACAGGGTCATCAGGGTCTCAGAGCAGATCCCTGGACGGTGGAGGCCCGGCAGCGCTAGGCCAGTGGTCTCCAGTGCCCCTTCCCCTTGGGGTTCTCTGACCTTGATACGTGTGTAAGTCTGTGTATTGTGTGCCCACCGTCTGTGTACGCATGTGTGTGTGCATGAGTACATACGTGTGTCTGTGTACGCGTGTGCCCCGTGAGCGTGTCTGCGTGCATGTGTGTGTCTGTTCGTGTGTGTGCGTGTGGACCTGCCCTCACTCCGGAGTGTGCGTGAACTCTGGTACCGTTGAGCGTTCAGTTCCCCGCGAGCGTCTGGACGGTCCTTGTGTCCGGGCGCCCCTTTCCGTCACGGCCACGGGGCAGGACCGCAGAAGTGAGTTTCCACGGACTGACCGCGCCGGTGACCGGCGTCCACAGCAGCACGCGGAGCATCACAAACACCCCGGAGCCCCCCGTGCCGGCCCCTCCTGCCCTCCACGGCACAGAGCAGTGTGGCCTGCCGCCGTGGGGTGTGCCGGCGGGACTGACGCGTGCCGTCCGGTGCTGTGCGCGCGCCCGTTCTCGCGGACGGACGGCCTTGCACGTGGGGACCACACACTGTGCGCGATGGGCCTGGACCGTGGCTGCTGACTCCTGGTGCCGTCTCTGAGGCCCCGAGTTGCCGGCCCTAGGATGTCACCCTGCTCTCCTCGAGCAGGCACAGCACCAGGTGGCGTTTTCAGGGCGCCGTGTCCTTCCCGTCCTCACCAGCACGAGCCCTGGCTGCTCAGCACCCGTGGTGCTCGGTGTTCTGAACCTGTTCGGTGCCGGCCGGGCGTTGGGGCGGAGCACGGGTGTCTTGCTGCCATGGTAACTGGCATCCCTCTGACGACGAATCTGCGCTCCATTCCGTGCTTTGTCGGCCCTTTGGACACTTTTGTAGAGTGTTCACATTTTTCGCCCATCTTAAAACTTGAATTGTCTGCTTTTGCCTTGCCCGTTTGTGTGAGTTCTCTGGGGATCCTGGGCGTGAGTCCTGGGTCAGGTTTCTGTATTTCCAGTGACCGCCTCTGCCCGTCTCACGCTCTGAGTCCCGGGTGCTTGTGTTCACGTGTGGCCAGTGCCTCGGAACCTGTTTCAGAAAAACCTCCGTCTGCTCCAAGATCACCATGTTCTCTTATGTTTTCTTCTAACCATGTTTTGTTTTACCTTCTGTTTGTAAATTTGACCTCCCTCAGGAGTTGGGGTTTGTGTGTGCTGTGTGGTCAGGGTGATTGGGGCATCCCGTGGCCCCCACACCATTTACGGGGGAGACGACCCTTCCCCCCGGCCTCCGTCTGTCCATGCGTCGGTGGCTCTCGGTCGTCACCACTGAGACTCAGGCGTCGTGACATTTGCCACATGGTCCCACAGGCTGCATGGCTCGTCCGGGCCCTGGGTCGGGTCTGAGATTTCAGGTCGTTCCCCACATGCTTACTGAGTGCCGCACGGAGGCCGGGCCTCACTCGCTGTCCATCTCCGCATCGCTGACCTTGTTTCCCCGGGGTGGACGGGCTTCTTCCAGGCCGGGAGGGAAGAGGTGGGACACATGGCAGACAGTGAGGCCTTCGTCCTCCCAGCCGCAGCCTCAGGGAGGAGGAGGCTTCTTTCCCAGCCTTTGAAAGTGGCCGCGCCTGGTCCCAGGGCCACCCTCGCGCTGGTTTCGGGGGTCAGGCAAGAGGGGGTTCCGCGTTGGCCAGAGTGGGCCGGTGTCCGCTCACCGGGGTGGGGGCTGCCCCTCCAGGGAGCAGTGGAGGGGGCCTTCGAGGTGGGCCTGCTGGCTGAGCGAGGGTTCTCCTGGGGGGTGACCAGGGTCCCCAGCAGAGGCGGGTGGATGAAGCAGCAGAGAAGCTTGACACAGTGACTTGAACACCTGCGTCCACACAGAACCGGCACGTGACTGCTCGTAGCGGCTTTCTCCATAAATGACCAAACTGGAAGCGACCAAGATGCCCCTCGGGAGTGAGCGGACCCGCAAACTGGTGTGTCCGCACAAGGCAACGTGACTCAGCTTTCTAAGAAGAAATGAGTCAGCAAGCCAGCAGAGGGGGGGTGGAGCCTTCCGTGCACAGCGCTAAGTGAGAGCCGCCCGTTTGACGAGGCTCCGGCTGGCCGTGTTCTGGAAAAGCCAGAACGATGGAGGCCGTGAGTGTGGGGCCAGGACACGTGATGTGCATTTGTCAGCACCCACTGAATCTGACCACACAGTGAACATCGACGTGTGTGTCGCTGTGACGTCATCCGTGAGGCCCGCGGGTGAGCGACCTTCCAGTGCTCGGAGCAGGACCGGGGCCGACCTCGGTGCCTGGGCAGCCGGGAGGCTGAACCCAGAGGCACGAGGGCCTGCGCTCAGCGTGACGCTCCTCACGCGCAGCACGCAGGTGTCGGACCCAATAACCGCGTGGGGGTGGGCGGCTAGGGCGGCAGGGGAGGGGCCGAGCAGGGCCACGCTGTGGCAGGGTGTGGAGGTGGACGTCCGCGTGAACCTGTCCTCGGTGTAAAATAGACACAAGTGGCTGGGCTCGCAAGTGTTTGTAGACTCGCAGCTGAGCGAGGCCCGCGTCCACACTGGTAAGCCGTTGACGGCCCTTGTGCTGCTCATAACGGACGGGGGGCGCGGCCACGCGGGGACTCTGAGCTCTCGTCTCAATCTTTCTCCAAGTTTTGTACTGTTTTTCTACATCTGTGGACCCTGAGACACCAGGGTGTGTGGGAGCAGGGCCCCCAGGCGTGAGAATATTTGCCAGTAGAGCGTTTTGAGGGTGTAGAGCTTTCGAGATGCCCCTCCTCTTTGCTTTTACCACTGTTGTGCGGGAAGGTGGCCCGAGCACCTGCAACGTTCCGAAGGGCTGTCTCGCGGGCTTTTCCGTGTTTTCTCCCCCAGCTACTGCTTACCGTTCCGTGAGGCGGGCAGTGGCACCACCTTGGGCTTACTGATCAGGGCGTAGAGGCCTGGGGAGGGGGTGGCCGTCCCTGCCCTCACGCTCCGGTGTTGAGCCCCACGTCAATCACCAGAGCCTCGCAGCGTGGGTCCAGGCTGTGCTGACCTGCCCTGTGGTCCTGCAGGGCAGCTACGACCAGAGCAGAACCAAAGTGCTGCACATGAGCATGAACCCGGCCAGCGTGGCCAAGCAGCGGCTCCGTGAGGACCAGGTCCGGCTGCAGGAGGAGTGCGAGCAGCTACGGGAGCTCGTGCGCGCCCTGGAGCAAGGCGGCCCCGTGCCTGCCGGCCTGGAGGCCGCCGCCAGTCTGCCTTCGTCCACGGCGCTGACAGGTAGGTCCGCACCCCCCGTCCGTGGGCCGTCCTGTGGGCAGGGGGCGGCAGGAGGGCCTGGGACCGAGCACCTCGCAGCTGCAGGTCACAGCAGGATGGCACAAGGCAGCGGTGGGGAAACGCTTCCCAGCCCTTTTTCAGTGTACACGTGTCCCATCAATCATGAGTAGGTCCGACACTCATGGAAACGGGTATCATCTTTCACGGGGCTAAGGACCTTGCGCAGAGCCCAGCGCCCGCGCAGGTGAGCTCGGACTCGGGGAGCTGCCTTCCTAACGCGGCCGCACCCGCCCTCTGCAGCCCCGCAAATCCGGGTGACAGCCCCCGAGCCCGCGGCTCGTCCCTGCCTGGGCGGGAAGGTGACCCTCCTGTTCCCACGGAGTCCTGTGCTGGACCTGCCCTGCGAGTGCAGAGACCGATGGCCCACCAGCAAAGGTGGGCGTGTGTGGGCGCCCCGCTTGCCTGGGGTCACCGTCCGCGGTGAGGGCCGTGTGCGGAAGCCAGCCTCTCAGCGGTGGAGCGTGGCCAGGAGGGGGCTCCCGCCCAGCCCTTCCTGCCACAGCTCTGGCCGGGTCGCTGGGCCGTCAGTGTCACTGAAGGGGCCCTCCCGACAACCTCCTCAGGTGGCTCATCTCATCCCCGCGGAGGCGGCAGGGCGCTAGCCACCCCTCGTGTCCCTCACTATGCCCAGCCCTGCCTAGGACGTGTTCTCCACGTGTCTTCTTGGTCGGGGGTCTTGGACACAGCCCCCCGTCTGTCCCGTTTGTCTTTGCCGTCAGCCTGCCCTGGGGTGAGCCGGCGGGCACTCCCTGGGAGGTCTGGGGGTTTTGTTTTCTCAGTGTCAAGGAAGATGTAAACCCACAGAGATGTTGTTGTTTGCTACAACAAACTTGCAATCGGGAAGTTGGTGGGCGGGGGGTTGAAGGGTGAGCAACGGTGGAGCCGGGAGCCTGTTGGAGCTGTGCCCCGGAGCCCCCACGGCCGGAGGTGGTGGCGGGGGGCCCCGGGGGCAGAGGATCAAGGGCGCTTGCCGGCGGGTGTAATTACAAGCCGTCGGCCCCCAGGTCCTCCATCCAGCACCAGTGGTTGGTAGTGGCCTCTCCCCCAGCAAAAATGAGAAGAGGAAACAGAAAACCAAGGTGGTTCTCTTAGAGCCTGCGTCCCAGAGAGCAGGTCCCACACGGGCAGGGCCCTCCCAGGAACTTGTTAGGGACCCAGGATGTCGGGCTCTCTGTCAGGCCTGCTGGGTCAGACATGCCTGTGGCCCATGGAGGGTCCGCGGACGGGAACACCGACGCGAGCACAGAGTCGGTGCACGTGGGTGCCTCGACCCCCGCCCCACCCCCCTCCCCCCCCGCCCACCACAACACCCTCCAGACGGGCTCCTGGTGCGGGACCTGACATTAGAGGCCCTGGCAGACCAGGCCTGTCCCCGGCAGGACCCGCAGAGCCCTCTGCTCACTGTGAGCAGGGGCCCAGGACTGTCGGCCCTGAGGGCGAGAACAACACAAGTGGGAAGACAAAGCTCTCGAGGGATTGGGACACCTTCAGAGAAGGAGAAGAATGTGTTGCTTTACTTTGAAAAGTGTTTTCAAAGAGGATACACGTGAAGTTCTGGAAGTTAAAAACACCGAAAGTGAAATGAAAATCTAGACAGAAGACTTAGGAAATTGGGGGAGGTTGTGTGAACAGGAGAGCAGAGGCCGGATGAAGGTGGGAGGGGTGTGGGGTCTCCGCGGCTTGTCTGGTGGCTCCAGGAGAGGCGGGGACCCCGGGAAGCACGGCTGGCCGGAGAGAGGCGCCCCACACTGGGACGCGCCGTCCTGGGACTTCTGAACGCAGGGACGAGGGGACCTGTTGCCTCCCGGGGAGGGAGAAAACGGGCCGCTCCATTCCCAACTAAGGCCCAGGGGGCGAGAAAGCCTCCAGGGGCGGGGCTCCCGGTGCCTGAGGGACTGGACGGGGCTCACGGCCAGCCCCGCGCTCAGGTCTGTCGGAGGAATTCAGTTCCGATTCCGATGTTCAACGTCTGGAAAACCCTACCTCGCCGTTCCCGCTCCCACGAGGCCTGTGGAGGATGCGTACCCATGAAAGGAGAGCAGGAGCCAGGGAGCAACACAGATACGGGAGGCCCGAGCGCCAGCCCTGGAGAGATGAGGAGGACCCAGGACAGCCGCCCCAGGGGCAGCCGGAGCTCAGGTTGAGACTGGCCAGAAGGCTCTGGAACCACTTCAGACAGATGAGGTTGCAGAATGTAAGGTGTCCAGTGTCTTGAGAGACGCTCTGGACCAGAGCTTCCCTTACCTGTGTGCCGGACTCCCGGCCCGTGGTTCCCACCGCACGGTCAGGGTGCTCCAACGTGGACACCCGGTAGGGAGGTTTGTCGAGTCGGTCACGAGTACCCGGAAAACAGCCACTGGAAAAGCAGGGCCGTCACCAGCTGCAGGGGAAGCAGAAAGTGTGGGGGAGAGAGTCCTGGTCTCCTGCCCGGCCCCGCTCGCGTGGCTGCAGTCAGGACAGCGTGGGGTTCTGACGCAGGCAACTCAGGGCATCGTGTCCTGGGAGAGGGCAGAGGGCGGTGGGCACCCGCTGAAGGCCAGAGATGAGGCAGAAAACACACACGGGCCCCCGCCCTCGGGCACCTCAGGTTAGCACAGACCAACGGACCTCGTAGGAACGTAACCAGTTCCCTGACAGATGACGTAAAGGGTGCTGACGGTCCAGACGGGTTCCCTCCTGCTGTGCACGGGACACCGCCTCCGAGCTGGCCTTGCAGAGCGGCCCCCGAGTTCAGTGCGGGGGGGATGGCTCTCAGGTGGAGCAGGTGTGCCGTGGCAGGCGGCTGGACTAGCGGCGGGGGCCTGGCCTCCTGAGGAGCGCAGCTTTGCTGAACAGGAGAAGGACCCGTCGGGCTAGCCGGGACGGGGGAGGGGCCGCAGCCACCCGCCCTCCCTAACCGTGCCCTCAGAGTTCGGGGGAGAGCTGGTCTGAGGTTCTGGTGGATCTTTGACAAAGGAATTGCTGAACAACCCGTAGCAAGGGCCCAGCCTCCTGGGCGGCAGGAACCTAAATCCTCAGCCTCCCCCAGCTGGCTCTTGGCTCCTCACAGGGCCCCCTGCGGTACGCAGGCTAGGCCAGGGAGATTATTAATTGCAGCTTAATTAGGTAACGCATTAATATTAAAATAACCGAATCTTGTCAGCAACACAGTGAAGGCGATCAAGTTTGTCACTGCCTGGCTGTGTGGGTGCAGCTGATCCCAAGGTGTCCCTGCGTGGGGGAGGGTGGTGGGGTCCAGGGCTCCTCCCTGGGACCCCCCTGCTCTGCCTGGGCACAAAGAGCAGCTTGCTTCTTCCCTCAGCCGCTCTGTCCTCTCTGCTGGCTTATGAGGCAGCTCGTCCATGCCGTGGCCAGCGCCAGTTCAGCTGGCAGGGAGCCGGGGGGCCGGAGGGCCACGGGTCGTGAGTCCAAGAGGTGCCGTCTAGGTGCTAGCGTTCTGGGGTGGCTCCACAAGGCACAGGCCATCTGAATGTCTGCCGTCCCCGTGCCCTCGGCAAGGCAACCACCCAGACTTCCGCTGGCTCGCACGTAGGTGAGGGTAGGGTGCTGCCACGGCGGAGATGGGGTGGACGCACCGTGGCCCCCCGCGGCAGGGGCACACAGTCCCCTTAGCCAGCAGCACTGGCCGCCCGCCACCTGCTCGACCCACAGGTGTCAGCGGGGCCTGTCCCTGCCCTTAAAACAGAGTGAGGGGAGAGCCGTGGGCATCAGGGGCCTCAGAGCAGGCCCTGGGTGCAGAGGGCCAGGGGAGGGGCAGACTGCAGCGGCTGGGCAGCTTCCCCGGGCCAGGGCAGCGGGCTTCGGCTGGGCTTTGTGGGCTGAGTAGGAGGGGAGAAGGGCTACTCTTCCAGGCAGGGGTCCTCCGAGCTTGTCCCCCACCCTCACCACATGTGCCCAGCCCTGTGTGGGGCGCAGTGAGGGCTGCCAGCAAGGAATGCACGGTCCGGGTGGGGAAAGAAGACCGATGAGCCCAGAGAATCCAGGGAGCCACGTAGGGTGTCTCCAGCCACTTCCCACCCCCACCCCAGATGAGCTCTCCCGTTGTCCCCCAGGGGCGGGCCCTGGGAGCTGCAGGAGGGTCCTGGCCTCGGGCTCTCCTGACCCACCCGCCCTGCAGAACAGCCTTCACCCCCGAGGCCTGGCAGCAGGTGGGAAGGGAGGGGTGGCCTGGGTCTCTGAAGCCACTGGCCGGTGCCTGCGTGGCGCACACGTGGGGCGGATCTGAAAAGCACCACGGAGGCTTTAAAACAGAGCAGACATCGAACCCGAGCTTCCAGAATGGGGTCGGACACACCCAGGTATCAAACTGCCAGACACAGTGCTTTGGGAGCGTTAGCCCGTTTTCTCGGGGCCTGTTCTTGGTGGGGACGGCTGGGTCCCTGGTCAGCGCGTGGTTGGCTTCCTGAAAACTGGCCGCGTCCCACAGTGTCCGCGCGTGGCCCGTGGCTGTTTCCCCGCGGGTGCTGATGCTACAGGGGCGGTTCTCTCGTGTGTGTGCGTGTGCACGCGTGTGCATACGTGTACATGCATGTGTGTGCATGTGCACGCGTGTGCGTGTTGTGTGCAGCGCATCGTGTCCTACCTGGCCCGTCCCCGGTGTCTGAGGATGGGCGCCTGCAGCGCCTTGGGCCATCCCTGCGTCCTCTGGGGTAGGTCTCTGTTCCAGTTTCCCCCTTTATTGGGTGCTTTTCTTTGTATCAAGTTCAGGGAGTTTCATTTTCTAGCAGCGTCTTCTCAGAGCAAACATGTTTCATTTGCTCTCGGACAGTGAATTTTCCTTTTACAGGAGTCTCATCTGAGAACCCTGCCTGACCCAAGGTCAAGACACTTTTTTCTTAGTTTTCTACCAAGAGTTTTTCAGTCTTACAGTTAAATCTGTGATCCATGTAGAGTTGAGTTTTGCATACGATGTGAGGTTTAGGTTGAGGTGATTTTCTAGA